GAAAGATAGCTCTTCTTGTTTTTATTTGATTGAGGTAATGATACGGTAATAATAACAATGATTATAATGATGTGTTTGATTTGTTCTTGTTTTCATTTTATTAATATTGATTTGCGCTTGGTTTTTTTTAAATAAATGTGAATTAGAACAAATAATATTGTGAGGTTTTTGAATTGTAGCAACATATTATTTAAAACTGTATTCGTTAACGCATTATCATTGAAAACCGATTTCATGTCACTTCCAAAGATGCACATCGAAAGGGAAATTCTATTTTAAAAGCTGAAACGGAATCTCCAAAAAAACTATTTAAAAAGGAAGAAAAATCTTTAAAAATTGGAATTTCTATCAAAAAAGTGAGCTGAAATGCTCCCCGTTTTATTCGTCGGGGAACACGGGGAGGGTCATTCCTTTTATGATGTTCCCCGGGCAATTTCCTCCCCGACTTTTTTGGCAGGATACACCGTCCATTTTCCACACCGTTGGGATCCCCTCGCGCAGTTTCCTTCCCGATTTTCACACTCACTGCTGAAACGACCATATTAGCACAAAACGTAACAATCTGGAAATAGATAAATTCAGAATTCCCCATTTAACGTAATTGAACACATTGGATGAAACCAATGGAAAAACTGAAGAGCTATCTTTCGGAGGAAAAAAATCGGTAGAGTTATCATTCGTTGCTGCGAAATCTAATTTTAATCTCCCAGATATCCATGTATCTTGGTTGATGGTGATCGCAGTTGAGGTTGAAAGCACGATAAATAGCGAATTGCTGGGCATTGTTGATGTTATCAAGTAAATGTCTTCAAATATGAGAATCAGGATCACCTGATTCGATCCAATGATTATGACTTATATTTATAGCAATCAGTGGTGGGCAATAGCGTGCTATTCGCTTTGTTGCTGTCCAGCTGAGCTACTTTTTTCGACAGCGCGATAGCTCGCAATTTTTCATATAGCGGGAATTTATAGCGATAGCTTCCGCTACAATAATTTTTTATCGGTCTAAAGCAGTGATTACTTGCGCTGCTTTCATTCGCTGGCGTTTTAATAAGCCACTTTTTCAGACTTGCACTACCTAGCAACATTTCGACCGCAAAAGATTGCTTACTTTTCCTAACATCAGATATTTAAAATACGTACCTGCGATGGCAGTGACAAATACTAATTTCGAACTTATCGTACTCGTACTCGTCCTAACGGATTGAAGTTGATGATTTAATCATGCCTCAAATGCTTGCTATAACTATATCATAAACATTTCGTTTGACCTCAGGAATTTGTGTGACTTTAGGAAAGCTACGTGGCAGTGCAATGCAAATCTGCTCATTTCTGTTCTCATTGGGAAAATATTCGATAAAGGCCATACGATCCAGACTCTTAGACGAAATACTCAACATGCTGATATTCTTGAAAGTGGATGAGGGGTAGGTGTGGGCTGCTGCCAGTTGATTGCTTTTCATTTTTGAGTTTTCTTGTCGTCAGTGGTTACTTCCACAGCGCTCAGCCTTGTTCTCATCATTTAATGGCGCGCGCCTATATCTGAAAAAATTCTTTGTTATTTATTGTTGAATGTTTGAATAGAAATTTTCAATTTCTTAATGGAGTTTATTCATTTACAAATCAGCGGTACAATTGCAAATTTGAGGGGAGACTTAAAGGTAGTGGTTGGCTGACGCTATTTTTTCCCGATCGGCGGTACTTTCAGCGAGTGATTTTCACCACTTTTTCAACAGTAGCGCTACCGATGGAGTCTTTTTAGCGAAAAAAATTTTCGTCTGCGAATTAGCGGTTAGCGGAGCCAATTTATTTCCGTATCGTACCCATCACTGCATTTTCGATTGCCAGAATGCAAAATTTTCGGCTGCCAAAAAACGCACTTTGCAATCAACTATTAACAAGAAACTGTTTTTGCACACTCAAAATTAACCAAATATTCATTGACATAATGTGTAGCGCGTAAACAAACACTCACTAAACGCGTAAACAAACGCGTAAACAGTCAGCATGGATTTTCTGCAGAGGTCTAGAAACATTAAGGGTCCTTTTATTATGACAAGGAGTGCTGTTGTATGTTCTTCTCAGACAGCTATTGCCGCATGGAAATCAAGCAGCTCTTTGAGTAGTCTTCATAATGCCGTGCCTTTTTTTGTATATCGACAGTGCGTCATAAATTGTCTTATAGCCAAGCGGAAGGTTTCCGGAAAGGGATTTGTTATGACCTCTGGTACACCAGGCCACAAAACTGCTGATATGACAGAGTGATACACTGTGCCGTTTATGTACGATGCGCTGTACACTTTTCATTTCATTAATTTCCTTACTCTCAAGCTCCGTACCCTCTTTTGATGCATGGCAGACTACCTTTCCAACGTCAAGCAATCTACGAGTCCGCAATTCTCTCATCCAATAATAATCTGTTACTTTTGATCGACAAATTAAAAGAAGCTCATGGCATTGATCCGCTGGTCAATATCAATATCAAGTTTGCTGAATGAGTGATTGAACGATCAGTTTCAGTTTATCAGTGAACCACTGTGGTAGAATCATGAAAAAATACCAGTCTAAAGATGGTTTGACAAAATCTCCACAACTCTCATTGACACCCTCAAACCACTGATAAATTGTGCTGCTCTTGGGAGATATGTTGTATGCTACTGCTGGAGTGATGGAACTATTGTAACTTAGGGACAATATTTCATTATAAAAAACTTTTTGAAATTATTTGATGAATAGTTTCTTGTTTGGATCAAGTCGTTGAACCGATGTTTGGGCTTGGTTAACTGGGAGTGCGTATTCAACAAGCAACGTACGCATGAAGGATAGAGTGAATCCCAACAAGTTTATCACTAAAAATTTTTAACAAATTAGGTAGAACACAAATAAAACAAATGAAGGCACGCACATGTTAAGAGCACAATGATCACATAAAACGATGTTACACAAATGATATTGATAATCACAACGATGTTTCAAGAAACAGTGATAAGAGTTTCAGAATTTTATCCAGTCGTATTTCAAAATGATTTTACATTATTTTTGGCTCTAATATATATCTTAAACAAACTATATTCGATTTATTCTACATCAAACAACTCATTCACTAAATGTGAATAGATCAGTAAACATAAGATGTAATTCAATGAAATTCAAAGTGCTGATTGGTGAAATTTTCAAATCTTATCACTGGATATGAGCAAAAAATGTCTAAAAACAAAAACTATCACAGTGCTAGACGGTAGTTCTAATCAATATATCTCCAATTATTTTGTGATCCGAAATCATTCGGTACGGTGGGATATAGCTCAGATGTTTTCCATTCACCATCAACAACGAACAAAAATTCATAACGACCTGGTGGAATATCAACCCAAACACCAAATTTGCCATTCGCTTCATCGAATTTATTACACACCAACGCACATTCCCAATTCACGAATGTTGCCTGAAGTATTGGTGACTTATTTGAGCTATGGAAATAATGATTCATTCAAAATCAGATTTATCAGACATTACACAAACCACTTAGTAATTCAGCAAACACTTAATTAAGTGATGAAATCTGAACTTGGTTATATGCTCACAGAGTATGTGAATGTGTACCGGCTGATGTTGTATTTAGCTGAGTTGTCCATCAAACGAATAATCAACTGATATAGAACAAATAATCAACTGACATAAATGTTTTTCAACAAGTGCCCAAAAACCACGTATTTTTTGTACTGAGACATTAGACGCGATCAGCATGTCTGGATTACAGCCATATCGGTTAATGTTTGAACTCGTCAGCAAATTTTAATACGTTTGCTTCACTTAACATTTAGTCGACGATACATCATTCGCATGAAGTAATTACCCATTCTAGGAAGGAATTTTGCTTAAAAGTTTAATTCATAGCCACTTACGGATAAGAAGACGCGTTTAGCTTCCGGAGCTGTTGTTTCAAACCAAACCCGTCGATATTCTTTGAGGTCATCAGGTGAGTTCTCATCCCTACAATCGACGACATGTGACTTCGAAAATGAATTTCTGTTTCAGTTGAATTTCAGTGACGGTCTAATGGTAAGCGAGAAAGGAAACAATTGAGAGCGATATCAAGAGATTTTTTGGTGAGATGTGTGGAGTAACGCAATTGAAAAAGATAAACAAATGAGGAACTCAAAATTTTCGCAGATCGAGCATAAGGCTGTCGATTGGAAAAATTATCGAATGTTACATCAGGTAATTCGATGAGCCGTTGTTCATTCAAAGTAAAATGAGTTCATCCAAATGAATTCATACGAAAAACTGTTCGTCGAGACATAAAAATTGTCTACATAAAAGTTGAACGCTAATCGGGATTATTAAAATTGAAATGGAAGTGAAAAAGTATTTACCACATTGCTAAACGCCACTTATATCGGCCATCACTAGGTTGTTTACGTATTAGGAATGTTCCATCGAGTGTGTTTTTAGCTTGGTCACGGAATTGAAGTAACGATTCATGTCTAGGATTACAAAGACATGAGAAATCATATAGGCAATAAAAATAATGCAAATATTGACTAAAATACAGAACGTGAGGGATGGAAAAAAATCTCTTATCTT